ACAAAATTCGCGATACTTTTTGAACACACCTCGTAGTTGCAGTCGTGAGATTTTCTTGTCCTTGTATATTTATTACATATTATTTTGATCTTATTTGTGTGTGAATATGTGTATGTATATTGCCAGCTTTTTAATGATGTCATTAAATTTTTTTTGTGCTTGATAAATATATAATTTATTTCCTTTATACTTTTTACTTAAGCAAATGTCATTGTTTATTCGTATTAATCACCRTGTTTGCATTGAAATTATTTTCAATGTTGTTTTAACGGTACCGCTGCTATTCATAGCTGCTTAACCAGTTTCCTACTTTATCTAACGAAATTTTTATATATGTATGCATAGGCAAGAATATAAGTATGTATTTTTTGACTCAAAAAATTTAAAATGAACTGGTCCAAAAGGAATTGAAATTATTCGAGATTGCTGGATAAAAATCCTTAAAAGTAGAAAACTAGAAAGTTTTTTTTAATTGGAAAATATGAAAATTCTTAAAAAGACAAAATAAACGAGWAAGGAAGTGCTAAGTTTGGATATATCCGAACGCAACTTGCAAGGATTAAAGGCAAGGAAGTACTTTCAGGTACATAATGCTTGTTAGTTATATGGGGTCAAGGGCGAGTTTTCACCGGATTTCATTAATTTTGAGCAGAATTATGCAACGTTATAAAAAAAAAACACGAACTCTCAAATTTTATATTATAAAGTCACCCGGAAGTTCGATAATCTTTATGTTAGGTATATGGGSGCTAAGGTAAGTATTGACCCCATTCAATCCATTTTTGGCACAAAGACAATTATCAGAAACGAATTATCTCTGAATTTCAATTATATATCTCAAACATTGACCGATATTTTTGGTAAAAAATCAACTATAATCATTGGCCCACATATTCAGTTCCTAGGCGCTTGTCAGGAGGATGGAGTCATGTGTAGAAGTTCACACAAGTGATTGCCATTTACTTGGTAGTTGCCAGAAGCAATTATTTTACATATGGCTCAAGTAGCTTATGACTTACGGTCTTAGACCAAGTATCCTCTGGGTTGCCAAAGAACAACCGTTTGAAGGCGAGCTAAAGTGAGAAGACGAACCATGCTTCCTCAGGGTTGTGCGCTAGGTATGTGACTCGCCACGTAAAAAACGTCCCCATTGAAAAGTAAACAACAGCCTCGGAAGAAAAAACCTCCTTGATGTCGACCGCAACAAACGTAATAAGGACTGTAATTTAAAGGCATCCTCCTAGGATGTCCGGTCTACTAATTGGGGAAGATGCTGCTGCCCATGCTGGTTGATATCCTGAAGGCTGATATCACCGCCGTCCAAGATGGACGGGACAAGGACTAAGGCGAGGAGGTCCTTGTGGCATTTACTACAGTGGCCATATAAAGGAGCGCATATTCGGTGTAGTATTCATGGTGGGAGAGAGGCTCCGTCGGCGACTCCTAGCATTCACCCCGGTGGATGAACGTCTGGCCACAATCCACATCAAAGCGAAGTTCTTCAACATAACGCTGATTTGTGCCCACGCCCCAACGGAAGAGAAGGACGATGCGACCAAAGATGCCTTGTAAGAGCGCTTAGAGAGCACCTATGAGAGCTGCCCCTGCCACAATGTCAAAATCGTGCTTGGCGACTTTAACGCCAGGGTGAGCAAAGAAGGTATCTTTGGCAAAACGGTCGATAAATTCAGCCTCTATGAGGAAACATCACCAAATAGGTTGGGGCTGATCGACGTCCCCGTGGCCCGAAAAATAGTTATCTGTAGTACTAGATTCCAACAATTAAGAAAACTCAGCAAGCTACCTGGCTGTCACGGGATCGAAAGGTCACCAACCAGATCGATCATGTTATGATAGACGGAAGAGCAAGAGCATATTTTGAATGAATCATGAAATTAAAAAGCACAATTTTCTATATATAATTGTTTTTATGTACATAGTTCAAATGCTAACCGCTTTTATTAGCTATGCATTTTTTTTTTGTTTTATTTCTGACGTTTTATGAATTCATCGCTCCTGTAGATTTAGTTTTTATGCTGCTACCATCACCTCGCTATATGCAATGATGCTTTGTAAACATTTTCCTAAACTTACATACATACTACATAGGCTTGAATACTAAAAAACTATTAAAAAAATTTTTAAAAATTAAAAAAAAATATTAATAATAAGGAAGCTGCTTTAGTAACAATCGACAGATATTTTTTAAATTAATTTATGCAGTGATGATCAGTAAACTATTTTTACAGCTTGATTAAAGCTATAATCTCGATAAGTCGCATGGCTCAGCGATTTGAAAGCTGTCCTAGAAATCGCAGGTGGTTCGTCAGGGCAAATCTGCGTAACTAATAATTTTTAAGATTCTTTTTTACTATGTATGTAGGCATGCTAATAAATATACTTATGTGGTATATGGTACGTTAATCATAATATGAATGTATAATACTTTTGTGAAGTTAATAGCAGAAACCAAATAAAGGAAGCAATCATACAATTTGCAAAAAAATATAATCCATAAATTAAATAAAGCTAAACTCTCATATTAAACGACCTCGACTCGTGTACGTACCGGTACTCCGTTCCAAGAAATAATCGACTTCAGCTMCTCTCACGTGGCATAATTTACGCTGTTTTTACCTGAAATAAATTAATGGTAAGTCGCTATTGAAGACACATACTTATTATTTCATAGAAATTGTCTGTGTAAATTAAATTATAAAGAATCGCTATCGCTACACAACTACCACGTGCAAGAGATATATATTATATATATACATATKTAGATACAAGTACGTGCTGAAAATACATAAAGTAGTTAATATTAGATTGTCAAAAAAGTGTTGCGGTATTTTCGCTAGCTGGCGCTGAGAGCGCGTAATTCTAATTTTATTCGTCGCATCGGGTCATGCTATACCTTTTGGGAAAGCCCATTTCACGCGCTAACACGTGTTTGATTGATTGTCGTTTCTTTTAAGTTGTTCGTGAGTTATAGCGTCGCAAACATGGAGCAATATACGGCATATTTTACAGTACTACTACGATAAAGGCAAAAATGCATCTCAAGCCGCCAATAAAATTTGTCCAGTTTATGGACCCGATACAGTTTCCATTTCCACCGCACAAGGATGGTTTCAACGTTTTCGTTCTGGTGTAGAGGTGGTCGAAGATGCGCCACGCCTGTCTTCGAAAATTGCGATAAAAGTGAGTGATTAAAAAAAAAATTGTATGTAAAATTCAATAAAAATACCGCAAAACTTTTTTGACAAGCAATATTTACAAACAAGCCTTATTACATCAGCTGTTCCAATATATAAGTGGTAAAGTGGTTAAGTGTGAAGTTTGCTGCGATTCAATAAGATCAGCTGTTATCATCTAATCTAATATAATACGGGCGTATTTATGTATATAATACGAAACCAAATCAAGTTTAAGCTATAAAGTACACCTATTCTAATATCATGTGCGAAAATTATGTAAAATCCAGACGTATCCATACCCTTATCTTCGTATGAATATTTGGATTTTGTGGGCAAAAAATAGTAAGACATTTTTATTTAAATTTCATGCAAAAACCCATTTGTCAAAATATTTTTCTGGGTTGGTAGGAACCCGGAACTGTGCTAAAATAACCGTTAGTTTTTAGTATACGCTAGCCTTTCTGAAGTACTATACATAAAGGCTTTTAGTCTTTACTTTTAGTTAGTCTTTAGTATACGATAGCCTTTCTGAAGTACTATACATAAAGTGCATTTAACGATTTTTACGACAGAAATTATTCTACAAAGAAGTTMCATTAAATTTTATGTGCAGGTTGAGATATCTGGTGCCGATACATTCAGAATGTTGAAAAAGTCCTTCGGAAACAATTGTTTATCACGAGCAACCACGTCTAGGACGGCTATCAACATCAACTTATGATCAGCACATCAATAAAATAAAGGAATTGGTGCTTGAGAAACGACGATTAACAGTCAGAGATGTTACTGGCATCGTTGGAATAACGGAAATATCAGTGAAAACAATTTTGAAAGACAATTTGGGCCCAAAAAAAGTGAAAACACGTTTGGTTCTAAAATCACCAATTTTTTTCGAAAAACAGCGTTGTGTTAACATCTGTGAAACAAAGAGTACTACTTATTTGACTGTGAAGCTATTCGTAAAAAGACAACTCTTGGATACATCTTGCACACCTATAAAAAAAAGTACCCTGAAATTATTTATTATATTTCATAGGCAGTTAYAAATTTCTCCATGATGAGGGGTCGGAGCTCGTACGATCAACCATGTCCAAAAAGATCTGTTTACGGTAAACTTTTTGAAAAAAAAAATTAAGCTTTACCGGGACGAGTCGAGAAAGAACGGATTTCATATCCAAAATGTTCATCAAAATCTTTCGAACGAGAGATGTCGAGCTCTCTTGCCATCACTCTAATACCTACCTGACGATTTTCAAGCACCATATTCTTCACTTTTTTTAAATTTTCATGAGTTGAAGAGGTCAAAGGTCGT